CCCCCCTCTCCCCCCCCCCCTTTTTTTTTTCTTTTTGTTACTGGACTTTATTTTTATACCCATCCACCATTCAGGGAATTCCTCAAGCTGTACTTCCCCCCTTACCAAAGAGGCCTGCGCTTGAAAAAACCAATGGTGCCACCGCAGTCTTTAACACTGGTATCTTCCAATACCAGCAAGCTCTTGCCAACATGCAGTTACAGCAGCATACAGCCTTTCTCCCACCAGGTAAGTGCTGCACGGGCACCTTTTCAGGGGAGGGAGAGGGGGGACTCCTGGAGAAAGCACAGGAGGAGGCAGCTGTTGGCTGCTGGTGGTGAATGTGGTGTGTGCTGGAGGCAGCTGGTGCCAGGCACAGGCAGCCCCTCCGGCCATGGCACAGCAGTGCCCTGTGCCCGTGGGCAGAGGAGGGGCTGGCTGTGGGAACGCTGCCTTCTCTCTGCTCCTTGCAGAAGCTGGGTGGGTGTTTTCCAGTCTAACACAAAATCAGCATCATGCTCTGTCACCCCAAATCAGAACTGGAAATCTCTCTCCTTCCTGTTTCCCTGGATTAACTGCTCTTCCTTCCACATCCCTCAGCTGTTGTGCTTGTTTCCCTGTAAAACCCCTTGGCCGTGGCTCTGAGTCACACGCACAGAGGGGTTTTTAATGAGGTTTTAATGAGGTGCAGTGATCCCAGGCAGCACAGGCAGTCTCACAGGTGGAGAATCACAAACCTACACAAGAAGTCACAGGTTGGGCCTCTACCGCTGATGTCTCAGGGCTGGTCTTGGACTGAGCAAAGCCAAGTGCTTGTTCTCAGCTCTACACTTGGCCTGGTGTCACTGCTGAAGAGTTGACACCTGTACTATGCACCAAGCAGAAATCCCTTTGGCGAACTAGTGATGGGACATGAAGTTGGAGCATGTGCTTTGGTTCTGCCCATGGCACTGCATGGGAAATGATCAGGAGCTTCTGCCCTTAGTTACACAGCTGAGGTAGTTTGTTAGCCCTGAACCCACACAAAGCAGCACCATCATTCCAGCAGGTGTGCAGAGCCCAGCTGATAGATCTGTACTCAAAAATGGGAAAGAGTCTGTGAGGACAGCCCTTCATAATGCAGACCGGGAAGGGGAAGAAATACAGCTAATCAGTCTTTACCCAAAAAATTTAAAGGATTTTATCCTAAACATCTTTGGCAAGTATGTTCCCAGGAGATCAGTATAACGCCCTTTACTATTCTGTCTTGGTCTGGCATACAGCCAACATGTGTACTTTAAATGGCACAAAAATCAGTTTCTTGATCTAGTGCATTTTAATAATGCAAAAATACATTGCAGCCACTGAAATGTATCAGTAAATGTTGCAAAGCTTGCTGGAGTCAATAGCAAGATGGTTCGAGTAAGCTGCAGGTCAGATCCCTAGCCCACATATTAAAATCCATATAAAAATGCATATGCAATCATAGACTCATGGAACCACAGTATGGTTTGGGTTGGGAAGGACCTTAAAGACCACCTTGCAAACCCTCTGCTGTGGGGGGACACCTTCCAATAGATCAGATTGCTCAGAGCCCCATCCAGATAGACTCAGAATCCTACCTATGAATGTTAAACAATTCACAGTTCTCTTTTGGCACAGCATAACCAGTGGAGTCTGTAAACTGAAGTTTTCCCACTCCCATGAAAGCAGCGAGGGGCTGGATGGTTTCTGGAAATGCTGGAACTGCCTTTGCACTTCCCCTTGGAACTCTGGAGCTGGGGTTGTGGTCTGTGTGTGCCAGACCCCATTTGCACCTCATCATAGACTGGGGTCTTTCCCATTGGCTCTTGACTCACCTTACCTCAGCTCTTGCTCCAGCAGATCCACACTGAAACCTCCAGGAGCTTGGCAGTGGTTCTTGAGGCTTCATTAGACCTTTCCTTACCACTGAAGTTTAGTGTATGTTACATAAGAAAAGTAAGGGAGTTTTTAGCTTGAGCTATTATAAATTCTCTGTTTATATTTTTCAGATAGCTGCATTTTGAGCTTTCCAGTAATCCAGTACTTTTCAAAAAGTTTGAAAAATGCCTTTGGCACCTTGCCCTTTTTAGTTTTTCCCACTTCAGATGAAGTGGCATCAGTTCCTGTTTCGGCACAGTCACCTGGAAAGAGAGTTTCTCCATGTGTCCCTACGAAGCCACGGAGAGCACAGAGCGTGTGTCCATGGACACGGAGCAGGGCCAGGGCAGCTCAGTGGCATCTGAATTAAAGTGACATTTTTCAGGTTCAGACAGCCGAGGTGTAAGTGCTCGTTTGTGTTCCTAGTTGCTCCAGACAGAGTATGCAGGAGGGCTGGGGGCAGGACACCTGCAGAGCCTGCCCAGGGGAGTGTGCCCAGGGCTGGTCCCCTGTGCTCGAGCTGGGCAGGACCCTCCTCTCTGCAGGGCACTTTGCTCCTCGTGTTCTCCCACTGATACTCCAGAAAACCTCAGGTGCCTTTTGTGAATTGTAAGGCATTGTTCTGGCTGGCTGTGTGCCAGGGATGTGAAGCACATCCAGGGAACGTCCGTGCCTGGGAGTGGACACTGCACTCCAGCCTTAAGTGATTAGATGTTCTTCAGACATTCATACCACCTCTCCCAGCTAAAGCTCCCTCTGTGCACAGCTCCTCTCTTGAGGTGTCCCCGTAACCTGGGCTGCTGGAAGCTGTCCCCAGCTGAGAGAGGAGTTCAGGTGTGTTACAAGAAGGAACCAGGGACATTTGTGCTGTTGAAGTAAGGGGAGTTAGTGGGCTGCGTCAGGAGCTCTGCGTGCCTTGGAGGTGTTCACAGCTTGGTTTGCTCCCTGGTCCTGGCTGCCAGCTTGGGACACCTCAGCAGATGTGGCTGACCCTCCTGCTGTGAATGTGCAGAGCTCTGGGTCCTCAGACCTTGACCTGCTGCATGTCCTGCAGCGACTGGAGAGTGCTGCTGGGGACAGGCGAGTGGCATCCTGTGCCCATCCTGTGCCTCAGTCCCTGTCTCCTCAGGAGTGTGAGCACAGCCTTTGCCCCAGGCGTGGTCCCCAGGTGACCAGAGTGTTCTTGAGAAGCTGCATCCTCCAGGGGAAGGGCTCAGGTTGGCAGGATGCTCCCAGGAGTTGATGTTGTGGTGCAGCTGCAAGGGGCAGAATTGCAGCTGGCAGCTGAACCCCCGAGCCAGTGAGGAAAGGCTGCAGCTGCCTCTGCATGGTGTTAACCCTTTGTGTATTTGTTCAATTACTGCAGCTTCAGCACCACAGACACTCTTGTTCCTGGCTGGGACTCTGTGCCCAGGGGCTTTCCTAAAGCACTTTCCTCCCTGGGGCTGCTGGGCTGGTGCTAAACCACTGCTCTCCCCCAAAACCTACAGGAAAGCACCACTGCTCACCTCCACCAGAGTGCTTGTGCTGTCTGGAGTGTTGTTTTTAATTAGGCTGTAGTAGATTGGGCAGAAAAAATAGATTGAGGGGAACAATACAAGGGAGAAAAGAGAAAAAAATAATTAAAACAGTAAACCCAGAATATTTCTAAAAATAGCTTTATTGTGATGCAGAAATAATCTGATTGTGAAGTTATGGTCAGTTACGTCAGAACATCCTCAAATTAAAATTCTGCCTTGTGCCGAACAGCCAGGGAACACTGAAAGTGCACATTCATTATTCATGTGTTCTCATTAGTCAGTCAAAGCTTCTGAAGTCAAGCTGAATATTAAGATCATAGCAAAAATTATTTTTATTACTGGTAAGAAGGTCACATAACACAATATCTGTGTTTGGGCGTTATGCCACCCTAGCAGGCGTTCTACTTTTTGCCTCATGTTCATTTGCCTAAATTCCTTTTCAAAACCTGTGTGCACTTGGTCATAATGTTAATGATGATCATTCAGACTGAAATTCAGAGCTTTTAACTGGAGAGCTTTACAGAGATGTTTCAGAGTGGTTGTGAAGACCCAGCTCATGTGTAGCACGGAGTGAGGTTCTGTTGCAGCTCTAGTGCAGGGTGCACAGCCCTGGGCACTTCTGCAGAGCCACAGCTCAGAGCTGCTCTGGAACCTCACTAACGCCACTGAGAGCCCGTAAGAGGAACCAAGGCAACAGTTTTGCTTACTGTTTGTACTTTTTAGCCAAATTTTGCGCCATTTGTTAATCTTGCAAGTGATCCCATTGGCCCCAGCCATCATCTGTGCCTGAGGAGGTCAGGAGAGGCACCTTCACCCTTGCTTTGGGAGCATTCTCAGTCTCTCCCGTGACACACAGAATTAGGAAACATGATGATGGCCCTGCCTTTGTTGCCTTCCAGATACAGCAGTGACAGACAATAATCTTGGCTCCAGCAGCAATTAAACTGGCCGACTTCTTCCCTGCATAGTGAAATGCTCCTGAGGATCCCCTCCAGCAGGGCTGGAGCTATTTCCTGTCCCCATACAGTCACGGGGTGTCACAGAGGCTGCATTTCCTGCCTCTGCCAGTCTGCCAGGACATGTTTCCATTTCAATTGCAATCTCATTCCCAGATTTCAGAGTTTATTTCAGTTTCTGCTGTGTCAGTCATCATTAACAGTGTTAATAAATGTTATTTGTTACCTTAAAAAGTAAATAATTTATTAAAAATGGATAGTCTGGAAGATCAGTATATGTTTATCATTTGGAAGCAGAAATAGAAGATTGTGAGGTCAGTCTGGTGGAAGGCATTTTGCTGTGTAATGTAAAGAGAATTGCCAACTTGGTGATACTTTAAAATTATGCCAGAATGATCCTAAAAACACCTTCCTGCTCCTGGTTCTGGCTGCAGGGCAGAACTCTCCAGGTGCTTTATTGTTGCGTGGTCTGAAGGGAATTTGGGCTGTGAGCTCAGGCACCAACAGCTTAAAATACATCCTAAAATGTAGAACAAGAGGCTGAACAGGTGTTCAGAGGTGTCACCATGAGCTGCACAGGACACAGCAAGCATTCACCTGCAGGGGAGAGGACAGGACAGGACAGGACAGGACAGGACAGGACTCTGTCACCTCCCACCGTCCATCTGCTTGGACAGGTCCAACAAGGACAGCAGGGCCTGGTCCCGCTGCCCTCGCACCGGGGACCGCAGGCACCAGGAGGGTGAGTCTGAAGTATCTCTTTGGATGTGAGAAGAGCAGGGAAAGGACCATGGCAAGGCTTGTGTCAAAAGGCAGAAGGGTTTCAGGAGTTCTGAGCTAGAGCTGAGGAAGGTTTTCCTGGCTGTGCTCCGGGGCCAGCAGGGTCTCAGCACGGCTCCATCTGTCCCTGAGGCCTCGTTCTGATGGATCACTGTGCTATTGTATGGTTTGATTGTGCTGACAGTTACATGCCACTGTGCCCCTAATAACCATTTTTCTTCTTTGTTCAAATGAAATTTCTAATTACACGTGTGATGGGTTGTTTTAATTCTTTTCCCTTTCCAAATCCACCTTCCTGTTGCAATGCATGATGAGCAGGCTCAATATTGTGCATGACACCCGCTACAAGTGTTGGTAGGTGCCAGCTTTGTTTCTTGATTATCTTAAACCTGTGGTGCAGCTCACAGACCCTCAAAATCCACTGCTAGGTTTAACATACAGCCCTTGTGCCAGTCCATCTCCCCGAGCCTTCTGCACTAACACCTGTCAATTAAATGTGATTGTTTTATTTAATTGACATGGACACGTAGATGTTAATTTTGTACAGCACTTTTTAATTGCACATTGTTCCTTGGTGGATTTTGACTGGACTATGAGTTCCAGTGTTTAGAGCCTATCTTGTGTTAACTAAAGACTGTATCTTACCATAGCCATGTAGCTGTATTCTGTCCTTCTACAAGATTAATTTCTGTTAGCAGTAAACATTTGGGTTGAATTTTTAAAAGACAGAAATTTGTAAATATAAAGGGCATTGAAAAAACTCTGCTGTTGTTTTTCATATTGAAATGGTTAAGCTTGTTTGTGTCGATTTTCTTGATTTGATGGTAACAAGCATTTTCCCCTTTTTTTTCTCTCTCATCTCCCTCCCCTCCCGGCCGGAATGTTGTCCTGCTTTGCACTGTGGTTGCATGTCACGCGCTGGCAATGATGTCTCGGGCTTTTCGCTGTGGTAAACCATGCTCAATGACCCTCCCACGTGTCGCTCTGGTCCCATTCTGCCACACTCTTCTGTATGTTTGCTTATTTGATTTTCCTTCCGAAAGTTCCCATGGTGCACGGTGCTACGCCAGCCACTGTGTCTGCAGCAACAACATCTGCCACAAGTGTTCCCTTCGCTGCAACAGCCACAGCCAACCAGGTTTGCTAATTTACAGCTTTGTTCCTTACAGACATCTCGAAATCGGTGCTTTAATGAGCATGGGGGTTTGGATCTGACCTCTTGTTGGCCTACACATTCTCTCAGAGAGCTGCAGCACAGCTTAATCAGCCCTTAGCTGTGCTCCAAAGGTGCTGCAGTTCCATTTCTGATGCTAAAAATAATTGACAATAGAGTTTCTGACTCAGTCTTGACATTTATGGGCCATGCTGCTTATTTCTGCTCTCAGGGATGCAAAGAGCAAGGGATAATACACAAACCCATGATTTATTTCCGTTTCTGTGGAGCCAGCAGCTCCTTTCAGTACAAAACTCGGGGAAAGCCAGGGGAGTCTTTGTGCAGAGAGGTTACAGGTTCATACAGTCTGAGTTTAGCAGTCCAAACATGTTCTGACTCTCCTCTTCGAAGCTTAAAACAAAACCCTGTGAGCATGGACCACACAGAAACTTCCTTGAAACCTTTGTTTCAGTCTTGTGATTCTCTTTGGAATGGCCCATTGCTTTGAACAGAGCTCAGTTAAGAAAATGCCCATAAGAGTCTGGGTTTGTTTCTCAATAGCCACCCCAGTCATTGCCGTGTTTGGATGTATTTCAGGAATATGAGTAATGCTTTACCACGTAAGTGATTAGAAGTCCTCCCAGGAAAGCCAGAGCCACTGCTTAGAGATGAGTCCCTGGTCCAGAGGAGAGGCTGGAGCTGCACCTGAGCACAGGACGCTGTCAGAAGGGCAGATTTCTGTACAACACCTGGCTGAAAGTGCAACAATAAAAACATTTTAAAGAGCCTTCTGTTCCTCTCCTAAAAGCAAATTCTTTTTGGAGATTTACTGGGCAGTTAGTTGTCCATGCCATGAAGCCGTCAGTTCTGGTCTGATACCCAGCTCAGTGGGATCACAACTGTGCCCTCTAGAAAAGGGAACTCCAGGTTCTCAGCGTTGTGCAGGTGTGGTCCTGGGTCTGGGATGAGCTGTGCAGGTAATTGTCAATGTTCAGGCTTACCTGACACCCTTGGCTTCTGGCTCAGGACAGGTGACTCCTCAGGACACCCAGAGCTGCAGAGTAAGCCTCAGGGCCTTTGGCTTCGAGCCTTTGCACCTTTACCTGTTGAGCACTACCAGTTTGTGCTGCCCCAGCTGTACATCCCTCGTTACCCTGTCTGCTTCCTCATCTCTCACAAATACAGTTCCCAAATGGCATCATTGCAGTGACACCTAGGTGTGCACATCCCGAGCCTCCAAAGGGACCTAGATATTGTAGAATTCCAAAACCAGCCCAGCTCAGTCTGCTCAGCAGCTAGCACGTTCTTGAGAAGAGTTTGCAGAACAAACAGCTCACTCAGGGCTTTAAGCGTGGCCTAAGAATTTGTGTTTTGAAAAGCTAGTTCATAGGTGGGGCTCCCTCTGCATATGTGCCACCTCAGCAGGCAACCTCTTGTGTGCCCAGAGTCTCTTAATATTGCAGTTTATTGCACCAGACAGTTACTTTCAGTGTGTCTCTGTATCCTGTGCGTGTCCTGAGGGTTGTGAGAACAAGATAAGCCACAGAAAAAGTCATTATTTTTAAATCATCTCTCTGTTAGTAACCATGCACTTCCCAGGTAGATCCCAGGGAAAACCTTCTGCTGTGGAATTGGTCATTTCATGCCTTTCCTCCCCAGAGCCTCATAACACACTTAGTGCAGTTCTGCAGCCAAACCTCCATATATACATATATAGCCATATATGTATATACCATGTGAGCAATGCTGAAGGTATTTAATGCTGCCCAGCCGTGTGCCTGCATGCCAAAGGCTAAAGATCTGGCCCTGCATCTTCCCGGGCTGGTGCTGAAGGTCCTTGGTGTGTTCGACAGCACTGCCCCTGACGCTGCTCCAGTGGGGTTCCACAGCCTGTCCTGCAGCAGCAGGAGAACATGGTATGAGAAGCTTTGTTCTGCTCCAGGCCCGTTCTGTTGGCAGTGCTGTGGTGTGTGAGCTGCCAGGGGAGGAGAGGGCGCACGGGTGGAAAAGCAGCAGCAGCAGCAGCAGCGCCTGCCAATGAGTTCACTGAGAGGAACCCCCGTCCTCTTTACCAGGCAGATTCACAGGCCAGCCTTGGTGCCCATCAGGAAAAACTTTCCAAGTGCCACAGCCCTTTGTGACTGTGCAAATCCATTTTGTGTCCCTGTGTCCATCTGCTCCCCCTGGGCGCTGCAGGGCGCGGTGCCCCCCGGCCGGGGCACGGTGCCGTTTGTTCGTGGCACTGCTGGCAGTTGGCTCCCAGTGCAATCCTGGCTTTTCAAAGGGGAAACTGAGCTGATGGGCACGAGAAGGGAGCCTGTGCTCAGTCCTGTTCAGTGCTCAGTCCTGTTCGTGCAGCCAAACGTTTGGGAGTTGTTTCCCTGCCTGGGGAGGCTTTGCTTGCCGGCTGCTCCGCGCGGTGCCGCAGCTGCTGTGGGAAGGGCACAGCTCTTCTCAGCTGGGGATTGTCACCAGCCATGAAAATCAAGTTCAGGGCATCCTAGGTTTGGCATTCAAACAGGACAGTGACGGCAGTGAACGCTTCACAAAATCACACTGACACAAGGCCACTGTAGAATCCATCATCTGAGATGCTGAAAGCACAGAATTTTGTGTAGGCCAACAAAAAGGGCTATTTTCAATTACTGCACTGCATGTCTTGTAGATGTTAACTTCTCCTATTTCCTGAACAACCAATAAATACTTACTTGTATTTGTCCAATAGTACTTAACCCAGTGTCCTCCAGTTGTAAGTTGCTATTGTAGCATTCAGTTGACTTTAACTTCTAGTTACGATATAAAATCCACCAACTCACAGCTGATCCTTTCCCAAACTGATGTTCTGTAGCAAATGCTGTGCCTCTGGGGGGCTCATTGCACATGTCACTCACTGTGTACATTTCTTACCTGTAGATACCCATAATATCTGCCGAACATCTGACTAGCCACAAGTATGTTACACAGATGTAGACATTTGGTCATCAAACAGTAAGTTCCCCGTGTGTTGTTGCTGGTTTTTTCTTACTCTTATGTGTGTAATTTGTTGCTATAAGGGACAGAAGGTTTTTATTTTCTTTCTAAGAAAACCAGTAATCTCTGGGAGTGGAGGCTCTGCCCCCCCTGAGGGGCCAATCCTCTCCAAGGGGAGATCCCACAGATACCAGTGGTCACATCGTGTTAGTTTGTACGTGCCCACCCAGCAAAATCAGCGTTCACAGAGGTTTATGTTCTCTCTGTGGTGGCCTGTGGTGAGCTGAGGGGCAGACTGGGGGGGAAGATGATTCCATCAGGTTCTCTTCAGAAAGAGGAGCTTTTAAATCTCAAAATTCGGAACCTCAGCATTTCCTGGGTTTGGAAACTCATAATTCTGTTGTTGTGAGATTCCCCCTGCCGCAGCCATCCCGTCCCAGGATGGCTCTTCCTTTGTATTACCTTGCTCTGTCCATTTCTGCAGCGTTTTTATTGGATTCCTTGGCCATAATGGGATTGTTTCTGAGGGCGAGGATTGGCCCTTTGGCCACAGTGGCTTTGTAATCACAGCTGCTCCTTTCAGCTGAGCATAAGCATTGTTAAACTGCTGGAGCGATGCAGGGAGGGTGGGACGGATGGGAGGGCTCGAGTGGGACGGGATGCTTCTGCTGCTGGAGGCTTCCTGCAGGGACACAGCTCCCCGTAAAGCTGGGGCTGGTGTGGTGTGACCCCGGGTCCTGGCTGTGCCGAGAACACTTTGTGCTTTCCCTCCCCAGATGGTGTCCGAGGCGGAGAGGCCGGATTTGGGTGGGAAGAGGCCGAGCTCATTAGCCATAGCGTTTGTAAATACTGTCCAGCAGCACTGGGAACCCCTCAGCAGTGACATCACACATTGCATGTTAACGAGACGAAGCGAGACCGTGGGACTCCACTGCACACTGTTGCCTATCTACTTTGTACATTGAATTGATATTTGTGCTGAGGTGATTTATTGTCTAAGCCTGCAGCATCGTCCGCCTTTCCCGGCCCGCGGTGCCCGGGCCCTGCCTCGGGGCTGCTCCCCACAATCACGGACGTCACCGGAAAGACCGACGATGCTGTAACCAGAAATCTATTATGTATTGGTACGTCTGTAGACCAAGATATAATTTTTTAAAGTAAGTTTATTTCTTTCAAGGTTTACAAATAACAAAGGTGCACCTTGTATTTAAAATTGCCATTATAGACGAGAGCGTGCATGCACAGTAATTTTTGTTTAAGAGTAATATTTTTAATGTAATAGATTGTAAGAAATGAGAAGAGAGGAATCTGACAGAGATGAATGTGCCAAGCAAAACCACAACTGTGTATATTTTAAAGCACATCAATGGCTTTAAGTACCACGTTGTTAAGGATTCTCATGAAGTGCCATAGACTGTACATCCATCAGAGTATTATTTCCGCAGTGTTATTTTCAGAACCACGTTTTCACTGACTTGATGAGTACTGATCAGTCAAAGGGCACCGTTCTGTTTCAAACCAAAGCTGTCTCAGAAATGGCCAATTGCTCCTCACAGCCAGTGGGCAGCAGCAGAGAGATGCTCCAGCTGTGCATAACCCTATGGACAATGCTATCTGTAAACTCTCCCGAGGCGGTGTGTGTCATATTTATGCATATTTACTGTATAAGGTGAGCTGCGAAAGGGAAAAGCCATTTCTGAGACACAGTAACAAATGTTTGAGGAACTTCTTTTGCTCTGTTTATAGCCTCTGTCGAGTCACAAGGACTATAAATGTTTTGCAGAGATGGGTTTCACTTTAATTCATCAAGTCCCGCGTCCGCGGCGACTCTAAACAAAGACGCAGAAGCACTGACAGCAGATGCATGACAAACCAAAATAGGACAAATGAGATGTTAATTAGTGTAGAAATTGGGTGGGTTAATACTCGGGTGAGTTTTATATGTGATTTTTTTTTGTTCAGATTAACTGCTTATAGCCTTAGAAAGCCTTTACAAAATAAAAACAAACAAATAGATGTGCATTCAAGTTTTAAGAATGGATTCATCCAAAGGAATTCCTTTTTGTGGTTTGGATGTTGCAGCCAGTAAAGGATATTTTTGCTCTGTTCAGCCAGGGGCTGCCTGGGGCCAGGCCCCGGGTGGGCAGGGAGGGAGAGGCGCGGGTTCGGTTCTAGAACTCGCCATACTCCGAGTTTACTGCGAGTTTTTATGCTTGAGAGAGATGCTTTATAGATAAGAATGATGTGTTGATTTTCCTGATTGTACTGTACATCTATTAAAGCCTTAGATTATTACATTACGGGTTAAAACCCATACCAATGTAATTTCAATCGTGTTAAGAAAGTATAGGTGACTTCACATGTTATTGTAGTGACTTACCATAGAGAATTTACTTATTTTTTTCTTGTTAAAAATGTAGTTTTTATTTCTTACATATATTAGCTCGTTTTCATTTTTTATTACCAGTTGATACCATTTCAGTTCATAGAATTTTGTTTTATTAGAATTTACTGATGACTTTTTCAAAATAAAAAAAAAAAAAAAAAGTAGTTTTCTTCATAACATACTCAGTTTGGAATCTACATGTAGTGTCTTATGAGTATTCGTATTATTGTTAACTAAATGATTTCTATTTTACTGATCTAATATGACAATGTAAGAATGTCAGTCATTGTTAGTTCTTGTCTAGTTTTCATTAAAAGAACAAAGATCTTTTATATGGATATCTTATAATTATATAATCATTGCTAAGTAAGAAGTTAAGTTGTTGCTATGGCAACAATCCTGGCAGACAATTGAGTAATATTTTGATGATTTATTTTGTTTGTAATTAGTTATTATGAGAAAAAAAAAAAATCTAGTTCCTAGATATTAGAATAAAATTTATTTTCTACTGTATCCATTTCAAATGTTAAAATATTGTTTAAATATTTTTTGAAATCCCTGAATATCAGGCCTTGTTATAAATAAGCTGCATAATCAATAGATCAAGGGACTTTTTGTTGATAATCCAAATACTCAAAGTTTACGTAACAAGAATTCTAGTGTGTGTGTGCAAACTCTTGAGGGTTGATTATGCTGCAGTTGGGACGTCGAGAGCGAAGGTTGACTTTTTGCACTTCTGTATATAGTCAAAAAAGAGAGAAACCTGTATAATAGTAAGATCTTATTTTGAATAAAAATGTCTATAATTACAAGGAGTTTTGTTAAGGCTAAATAAAATGACAGGCTGAACAAAATTGCTTGCAAAAGTGGCACAGAGTTAGCACTCCATCCCCCTTCCAAAAAGTTGCTTTGCTTTATGTGGACAGCTTGTAGTTTGCCAGGATTTTTTCAGCTGGAAAGATCTGCCATCCTTCCGAGATCTCATGACTGACAGAAGCTCCACTGGGTCAAATCTGCCTGAGAATCATTAAGAAAAAAAAATGATAAAAAAAAAATAAAGAAAATAAAAATAAAAAAAAAAAAAAGCAGGTACTTCAGCCCATCCAGGGAATCATGGCTCAGATATTCCGTACATTATTCAAAATCTACTGCATGTTTAAAGTATCAAAATATATTAAAGATATATGCTATTCAAACCAGTTTCTGACAATTTCAGTGGTTTCTTGTTCACAAAAAAAAGATTCTTCAAAACAAATACTGACGTTCACAGAGTTCAGCCATGGACAGGCAAACGGAACAGCAGCCGTAGCTGTAGGGTAGGGGATTATTTTCTCGCTGTAGCGGTCCTGTTCTTTTAGCAGGTGAAAGAGGAGCCGGGAGATTTTCCCTGCTGGCGGCAGGCGCTGCAGGAGCCCGGCCACAGCCGCGATAACCGAGCTGCTCTCGGCCTCATCTGCTGCAAGGACGGGCGCGCTCGCGTTTGCTCTTACGTAACCACAGACTTACTTTCGCTTGTAGTTGCTCCAGTTACGTACTCTGTCCTGGGCTGCAATTTGGGTTTATGCTTATTTTATTATTACTGCTATAGTTGACCTTGCTGTATGGAAAAAATAAAGTGAAATTGCCCTAAGAAAAGTTCTCTTTCTTAATTCTCTTTTCCTCTACCAGGTTAAAAGTGGCTCCACCAGGTTATGTAGGCTTGAACGTGTCTGAGCACTTGTGGGACTGCCCACAGGTTATTTGGGACCGGGGTTTTCCTGCACCAGCACGTTCCAACCACAGGATGTGTATTAAAATGCCACCTGTTCGGGATATTCCTGTCAGATCCAGGGGGTAAACACAAAGCACCAGGATGCTCTGGATCAGCCCCAGCTGTGGCAATGAGAGGGAGATTCAGGGACACACTGGGACCTCCAGCCCCTCCCTCTGCAGGGAATGGGGGCACAGGGACCTGGATGCTCAGGGAATTGGGGAACACGGAGCTGGGGGATGCAGGGAATTCAGAGTGAAAGGAACGAGCAGAGCATGGAACTGGGGGGGCAAGAAATGGGGAGCAGAAACCTGGAGGAGCAGGGAAAGGTGGAGCAGGGGAAGGGGCACAGGGAATAAAGGGAAGTGGGAAGGGAGGTGCAGGGAATGGGGCAGCAGGGAGTGGGGTGCCGCCAGGCAGCGGCTGACATTAGAGGGAGCCCGTGTTGCAGTTCCTCCGTCGGTTTCCCACAAATCACCGATAATCGGAATTTTTGATCACCACATCCCAGCTCTAATTGATTAAAGGAAACACCGCAGGGCAGTTGTTTCCTAGGGGGATTCCGGGTGTCTCCTGTGACCCCCAGCACGAAGCGGCCTTTCCCAGACAGATCTATCGGCACCATTTCCCAGCTCAGCACACCTGGACACCCCATCCCTGCTGCCCGAGCATCCTCTGCCCTGCACTCCCTCTGCCCCCGTGCTCGGGGTGGCACCGGCATTTCCTTTATCCCCACATTTAGCTGCCAAGGGGAAACAAGCCCGGTGCCGGTGCTCAGAACTGGCAAAAAGAGCCCGATTTTCCTCTGTGACTCCGGCTGGAACTGCGGTGGCTCCCGGGCTCCATCCCGGGCTGCCCCAGCCCCGCCGCTCCCTCCCTGGCCAGGGCCAGGACAGTGACAACCACGGGAGCACAACTGCATCAGCTGCGAGAGGCAAAATAATAGAATTTTGTTCCAAGGATCTCCTGTGTCTGCAGCTGAGAGGCTTTTCTGAACTGGGGGAGGATTCTGGGCCTTCAGGGAGGGAGGAACAAGAACCTGGGGAAGAGTTCGAGTCGCCTCTGGTTCCCTGAGCAGGAAATGGTTGCAGGAAGAAGGAAACAGAATAATTCTGAGGGTGTTTTTGCATCCGGATATCAGTTGCAGTTTTTAAAAAGCATATTTCTTACCCAAACAGAGCCGATGGCACCCATCTGTGTGTTCCCAGCTGTGGGTGGCACCGTGCCCTGGTGCTGGGCATGGGGAGAGGGGCTGGGAAAGGCTCAGCGGTGCCAACTGCAGTGTCCGGGGGTGCCACGGCTGCTGCTGTCACAGCATCGCCAGCATCCCGAGCCACCGGCACAGCAGAAGGGAGAAGGGAGAAGGGAGAAGGGAGAAGGGAGAAGGGAGAAGGGAGAAGGGAGAAGGGATCTGGAGCCTCTGTGTGCTCAGGTAGGAGCTGCTGCAGCGGCAGCCCCCGGTAGGACCCCGATGCCCGAGCCCGGGCCCTCTGCGCTGCCGCTCGGGGTAGGGCTGGGCACAGCAAACCTTGTCTGGGTGCTGCTGGAGCCGGGAGCCCGGCCCGGGGTCCCTGTGCTCGCTGCACATCCCGGCGGAGCTGCCCGGAGCAGTGCCAGGGCTCTGAGCCCCGTGGCCCTGGAGGGGCTCTGCTGGTCCCTTCCCTCCCATTCCCACCCTTTTTCCGATGCCGGCCCTCGCTTTCCCCGCTCGCCTTCGCTGCCCGGAGCTCGCCGGCTGTCCGGGCAGAGGCTCCGGTAACACCCGGCGCTTCGGGGCCGAGGCTGCCCCGAGGGGTGGCAGCGGTGCCACAGCCGGGGCTGCTGCCGGGGACAGCCCCACACGGTGGCCAAGGGCTTTGTGACTGTGGCCACCGTGCCCGTGGCACCGGCAGCCGTAAGCAAAGGGGGAAACACGCCCAGAGTGTCACCGGCTCTGCCAGCTGCTGCTGGCTCCAGCTCTGCAATTCGTGGTTCCTGGTGCAAAAAGGAAAAAATGTGAACAGATCGTTACTGCACAAAACCCAGTTCTGAACATCTGTGCTGAAGTGAAAACTTCATCCTAAAATAGATGCACAGATAGAGAGGGAAGAGGAGCAGCTTACACGAGAGAGCTGGAGGGAATTCACCAAAATCCTTATAAACTTCCCTTATAAATGTTTTGGGGGGTTCCCTGAGCGTCTATCAACATTCCCTCTCGAGGGTCACTGCTGCCGCCTGTATTGAGCGCTCCCCATAGCTGCAATCAGTCACTTTGTGTCTGCTCTCCAAAACTCCTCCACGCTGTTTGGAGGATATGTGTCTGCAGTGAAATGTGCAGCTGGGTCTGAGCTGCCTTTTCATGTGCTTTATCCACGTTATTTTCCTTCGGGGGAACCTCCTGTGCCGGGTGTTGGGCTGGCAGTGCCAGACAGCTCCAGTGGTGAAGCTGCTGAGCTGTTCCCGTTCCTGTGAGCCCCCAGCCACAGCCACCCGTGCCAGGCCCTGTCCTGGCCGTGCCTGTCCCCAGGGCTGGCTGGGGCAGCTCTGGCCAACCCAGCCCAGAGCCCTCGGAATTCCCTGCCCTAGGCAGTGCTCCAGGCCAGGGCTCAGGCCAGAGCCGAGCCTGGAGTGCGAATTCTCTGCCGGAGTGAGGGTTTGGTGCCCCTGGGTCGCTCCTGGCTGCCACTCTCTGCAGAGGGAGCCTGCAGGGTCTGTGCCTCTGACTCACCAGCAGGTGCATTGAGCAATCTTCTGTTTCCCAATCTGTTTTCTTTCTCAGGAATTCAGTCATCACGTTGCTTTCAGGGCAGCCAAAACGTAATTCATCTGCGAGTTCACACACGCGGCTCCGCTGCCCGGCAGATGCCGGCAGGACCCCTCGTTTTTCATGTCAAGGAGGACGGGGCAGTGTCCAGAACCCACTGCCGAGCCCCCCGGGGCTGCCACCGGCTCCCCTGGGTCCCATCCTGCAGCCTGAGCCGCCTCTGGGGTCCTGCAGCCCCGAGTCACTCACAGGCTGCACAGGGCAGATGGGGCTGTGAGCTGGGGCTGCAGGGGCCGAGCGCTGCCACCTCCTGTGGGGACGGGATAGGACGGGACAGGACGGGACAGGAAGGGACAGAAAGGGACAGGAAGGGACAGGAAGGGACAGGAAGGGACAGGATGGGGGTGGCCTCACGCCCTGAGGTGCCCGAACATGCAGGTGCAAGGCAGCGACCCACGGGCAGCGCGCAGTGTTCGAAACTGCCAGGCCCTGCTCTGTGCTTCACGTGCCTCTCCCGTGTCGTTCCACACTCAGAGCTGGAAGGGTCCTTTCCTATTTCCTGGATATTTCCTGGTATTCTGCACTTCTCCCTGCTGCAGCACCTGCAGTGCTCCCATCCCTGGTACCTGCCAGTCCCGGTGCCAGTGGCCACAGCTCTGCCCGGCGGGTCAGTGTCCCTGACACACAGCAGGGAAAGGACATCCAATCCCTCCCCCTTTTTCTTTCCTTCCTCCTTTTTTCCCTTCACAGTCCTGGGCAATAGTTCGTGACGCTGCAGTTTGAAGGTTCCCACTCATAACAGATGGGCAACATTTTCTTGTATTTGATTTGTGAATCCTTTCCCGATGCAGTGGATATTAATGATTACACAAACCGAACTGCTGCTTTCCAAGTGGCACCGGCTCAGATTCCTGCAGGCCAGGAGCAGTCGGGAGGGACCTGGCAGCCTGTCCGAGTGTGCTGTGACAGTACTCTCAGGCAAACAGAATTTTGTATTAATTTTTTAAACTCTCACATCCTCCCCTTCCGGGCCGAAGACTCATGCTGGAGAAAAATCTGTTAAACCCAGCGCGTGATTTCTCGCAGCCTTGCTCCGATGCCGTTTCAAAGGGAACAGGAAGAAACGTGTCAGCGGCTTCGTGTCTCCTCTTGCCTGGGGAGCAGGTCCCGTGCCAAGCTGGGAATGCCTTTGGCAGAGCTGCTCCCAGCTCCTTGGGATGCTGCTGGAGCCCCGGGGCCGAGCTGCTCACTGGGGCCGAGCTGCTCACTGGGGCTGGAGCTGCTCACCCGTGTCCGAACCTCTCACCTGAGCCCGAACCTCTCACCGGTGCCCGAACCTCTCACCCGTGTCCGAACCTCTCACCAGAGCCCGAACCTCTCACCGGTGCCCGAACCTCTCACCCGTGTCTGAACCTCTCACCTGAGCCCGAACCTCTCACCCGAGCCCGAACCTCTCACCCGAGCCCGAGCCTCTCACCCGTGTCCGAACCTCTCACCCGTGTCCGAACCTCTCACCCGTGTCCGAACCTCTCACCGGTGCCCGAGCCCCGTGGGGCGGTGCAGCCCCAGGCTCGGCTCCCAGTGCCCGGAGCCGAGTCACGCCCGGTTCTGCTGCTCCGGAGGAGGCTCAGCTGAGTCCCCGCCAGGCGCGGAGCGGCTCCGTGCTCGGTGCCTGCCCAGCACATCTGGTGTCGCCCCCGGGAACAGCGTGTGTCCCCCGAGCCCCGCTCCCGGGGCTGCCCCAGGGCTGCGCTCCAGCTTCTCCCCAAAGGGAAGGGGACGGGAGCATCAAAACCGCGCTGGAGCTGCTGCTTTGTCCTGCGCCTCTGCAAGCTGCGGCTTCTCGTGCCTCTTCTGCCAGACATGGCAGGGTCGGGCCGGGGCGGCTCCGGCACCGGGAGGGTCGGGAGGGGCACGGCGCTGTCTGTGCCGGTACCGGGAGGGGCACAGCCTCTGTCTGTGCCCTCAGCTCTCTCCAACAGCCCCGCTCTGCTCCGGGCACAGCCCCCTGGTTCTTGTCCCCACACCGATGGCCTCGGAAGCAGCTCCGGCACGTTTGGGGCGCTCCCAGACGGGTTCCCCACACAGAGCCCAGCCGGGACCGGCGCTGCTGATCCCGTAATGCCCGGGCCCTTCT